ATGCGAGGGAAGGGGGAGGGGAATAAGTTCGTTTAAAGCGTAACCTCTCACTAGACAGGTGTGAGCAAATAGAACGGGTTAAAACCGTCATCTGGCGTTCGACGAGTATGTGCAGCTGAGGTAGCACTTAGCTCTAAACTATGAATTAAAATGAGTGACTACCAAGACAAGGCCCACATTGGCTAAAACTTGGAAAAACGTAAGCGAAGATCGCAAGCCCTCTGAAACGAACTTTCCGTTGAATGGTCTGCAAAATGGCTACCTAAGCCAGCAACCGTTAAGCACTTATGTTCGGCAAAAATAGATGATATGAGCCTCTTTGTCAAATACTAGTCTGAGATAGGAATTTCAAACTCCGACAGGGAAGCTCAAGTTGTTACTTAAGCCCAGGTTGTCAACGCAGCCATATTTAATGTCAGTGTGCCTGACAGCCTCATGAAGACCCAGGCCATTATCGCACAGAAACTGGAATACACACACGCGTCGTGCATATGTCTGCCGAACCTCATTAAGGGCGTCATATTTTAAGCGGACGCTGATTGCAGTATGTTGGCGACAAGAGCGCAGTGATTACCGTCAAACCAGCTCTACAGATTGGCATGTTCGTTGTGGGTGGCCGCAGTACACGATGTTCCAATAAATGCAGATCACAAAGTGAGTAGTCGGACTAGGATGGTGAAGAGGACAGGAGAGTGAGAGGCATGCGCGATATCAGAGAATGATAAAACGCAATCTGGCGGTTGGGCTACTAACAGCAGCGGGTTGTGACCTCAATCCCAGACCGAAAATGACATCAAAAAGGTGAGCGGCAACTAGGCAAAATCGAAACACCAATGGCAGACAACGCGATGAAAAATGCATGCAACGACATGCCAAAGGCGAAAAAAGATAAGCAAAGAAAAAAGAGCGCAAAGGACAGAAATGTGGAGGTGAGTTGGGTGCACTGCAATGGGGAGTGGGGGAGGGGGGGTAAGGGCGAGGGAAGACAGACTCACCCAAATAGGGAATGCCCGGCAGACGCATGGCTGCGGTGTGTTCCCGCAGAAGACGACAGTTGTCTTGCTGACCAAACAGCTCCTCTAACCGACGATAGGCAGAACGTTCTCGGTGACCCAAGCCGGCCCATGTGTGCCTGAGGCGGTAAATGCATTCTACCTGCAGTGCGGAGATCATGGACATGGCCGAGTAGAGGTTGTTCATCTCAACCAAGCGCTAGTTGGACAAAAGCAAAGAGAAGAAGCAAGTAAATGGTACTGAATAAATTGACTGGGTAAAATTAATTACAAGCTATAGATAAAGGAAAAGGGTCATCAAGGCCTACAAACACCACCGCAGGTAAGAGCTTGTAGCCGGCGCCCAACATAGCTGTGTCCGGCTTCCTTGTCCAAAGTCAACTGCCTCAAGGTCATCCACTATGTCAGTCAGCACTTTTAGACGCGCTGGCCAGCAGACATGTGACTAAGTTCTACTCGGACACAAACACTCGTGCGTCCAGGTATTCGCGGCTGCCCAAGCGCCACGTGAACATGTCCCCCTTCCCTCACCCTCGGCCTATACAGCCTACGTCACCGGATACCTCTCAGACAATGTCACCCACACACCAATTACAAAACACTTGGACCTGCGCCGCAATCTTATTTAAGTAACCGCACCCACTGTCTCATTCTCTCTCAGGCCTGGCTGGACGCAGTCAAGACTAGCCCTGGTTTCGCCAGTGGCCACTGCCGCCCGATTAGTCGGAACTAAGATGCACTCTTTGATGATTAAACGATTCTAAAGTGACTGCAAGCCGCTCAGGAACGTCAGATAGAGGGATATAGTGCGGTCTGCTCAGTAAGCTGAGCAGTCGTCACCGTGCAGGGGGCATACCATTACGCCGAACGATCGATCCCTAGAAGTCCAATGGATGGAGTTAAATGCAAAAAACGAAATCTATTAGGCATAGGACCGCGAGCTATTTAGAGAAATTATAGTCAAGGTTTCAGCCGACCAGCACAGACCGATAGAAAAAATGCACCCCGATCGAAATCGTCACTGGTGCTTCATAACGTACGGACAACTAAGAATGGCTCGGGTG